CACACAAAATTCGAATTTTAAAGTATTAATCTTTTACTTGCTCTATTTGAGCAGACTCTATAGCAAATCTTCGTCATTTAAAGATTTTTCGTCGACCTTTTCCACATGTTATTTCTATTATTATTAATCGTTAGAATAATTCCCGAGGAATCTCATTTTGAAAAGTCGTATTTTTAAAATTCGCACAAATTTTGCATTAAATAATTTTTAGATAATGTTTTAAATAAATGTGAAATTTTTTTTTTCAAATCGTTTAAAAAGCTTGCGAAATATTGTGAAATACGCAAATAAATTAGCATTATGCATCGTTCTCCTGACCAGGTCTAAATCCGTTGGGGGAAAAAAAGGCATATTAAGTAAGAGAAAGTATGTTTTTGTGTCTTCTTTCGCAACTTAAAATATTGTCTGCAATAATTAATTGGTATCACTCTTGAGTCTTAGAATAAATGAGAAGAACCGATCATATTAGTACAAAGGTTATTCAGGGTAGTCCGTTTATTTTTTTGCGTAACGTATAGTATTTACAATTCTCCCAATAGGTAGAAAAGCAAACAATTAATAAGAGTTAGAGCCTGCAACAAGTAAAAGCAACAATATAATTTGATACGACAGAAAATGATTATTAAAAAAGAAAATTAGATTAATAAGAAAAAGATTTTTGTTCGTATGTATTTAGTTAGGTTATAATTTTACTTACATTATCATTTGGAGCGTACCTTTTGCCCTTGTTGGAAAATTACGTACCTCCAAGGGATGCGCTATAACTTCTTTTTTGCGTTCCTTTCACAATTATGGTGGCGTATTTGCGGAGTTATAATGCTTCAGCGGAATCACTGGACAAGTGCATTTCGATACCTTAGTAACAACTTCTTGACGCACCCAAGTATACACGCTAATCGACGTTTTAGAGTAGGAACTAATATATTATTGTCATTAATTGGGTACTTGTGCCAAGTGATTAAATGATACCCACAATTGTCGTTACATCCAATTAACTTTATCTAAATCACACGGTTATTAGGTATATTCTGCATTTTAACTTTGTTTCAACGTGCCAATGAAATATTTTCTGGAGTCCATTGTACTATTTGTTATAATTCCCTTCAAAAACTATCTTTTAAACACTACTTTAATATTTAATGATCGAAATATATTTTGCAATATTTGCTGTATAGACCAAAAACTGTCAGTGAAAAATTTTTTTAATGAAAAATTAGATGCCAAAATATTATAATTATATACTCCTCCCTCTTAAACATTCCAAAGTCAAATAAATGTAATACTCAATTTTAATTTAAAATCAAACTATTCGAGTGTTCTATTTCAAGGAATAACTTTTCTGACTTCTTGTACACTCTACTTATAAATGCATGGCTAAAGTAGCGGAGGATTTGGTTAGCTAAGTAAATTTTCCTTAATTTTTATCAATGCCATTCCTAATATGTCCAACCACTCAAAAAATTCACTCTAATCCTATAAGTTGAGAAAATTGTGCATATTTTGTGTTTTTAAAGATAAATTATTGGGATAACTCGTTATCAATTCAAAGTGCCTCTTAAGAAAGTTTAAATATTTTTAAAAGTTCGCTTATGCATTGCTCTTTGTATAGTATTTTGGCGACAGATTTTATGTTTAGTTTTCAAATGCGCTCTATTTACACGTGGTATTAATGTTGAGTAATAAAGACAATATTCACATTTTTTATTAGAATCTGAGTAAGTGAAATTAAGCTTTGAGCTTATGTTTATTTCAATTTCTGTTACTTCAAAACTGCAAAAGATAGTTCTTATGAAAAAACAAACAAACGAAAAAAAAAATTTATTTGTAATATTACTATACCATCTTATATTTGTAAAAACATTCATTACTTTTAGCTTTGATGAATTTAAATCAATTAAAACATAAATATTTTCTGAAATGCTGAAGTGGACATTTACCTATCTCCCCACCCTAACGACGACATAATATTAAGTAAACATATGCAAGGAATAAATAAATTCCGAGCGAGCAAGTGTGCATACGAAATTTGTCTCCTAACTCATACAAACACCAGCCACCATCTCCCTTCCCCCAAACAGTGATGTCATTTTTCAACCAATAGCGTGATCCTGCCCAAATGAGAATTAATCGCTCGTGCAGGGCTTCAAGTGGCAAAACATGGTTTTGGAGCAACAAAAAAGCAATTTTGGAGCAGCAAAACAAAGATTTGGAGCATAGTTAATAAATAGAATTAAAACAAGAATTTTTAATTTTGTTCATTAATAACATATCTTATTTTTTACACAAATTAAGTTTCTTTTTGGTACCTTCCAATGCTGTTAAATATTCTGCTATCCTCGACTTAGCCTCAGATAAGAGGATCTGTCCGCTTTCTATAATCAATATGTCTATTATTTTATCCATCTTTAAATATTTTGTTCAGCTGCAGCTAAGAGATCCTGAGAAGCCTTCAATTTTTTTTACAAATCAATTTCAGCAACTTTCAATCTGCTTTCTTCAGTCTCAGTGTTCTTCGCTTTCTTTTTTCTCCACCTCTAATCGAGCAGAATAATTTTTAAATGCTACACGAACCACTTTAATCATATCTTTGTCAACTTTAAATAAATTTTTTGAGCATGCCAAGTAAAAAGACCTGGCACCTAAATACATAATTTTTTTTTTCTGAAGATAAGGATGTCATCGCCTTTGTGGTATCTATTCCAACATCTATTAAATTTTAATTTTGCCAAATTTCTGCGTTTTCTACATCCAATGATTTTAAGTCCTTTCCTGACAAACATGAAAAGCAGAACTCTTCAAAAAACGCCCTAACAATGCGTTAACTAGGAACACCATTTCATCACACAGCAAGTGAATCAATGGTGTTTCAGTTTTTAAAAGACCTAAAAATTTATTTAATATTGCCGAAATATTTCTTTAAAAAAAAGAGCTTTTGTCAAAAGAAATTTAAATAAATTCAATACTGAATGGCTCATACTATTTTTTAAATTAATAATTGCTTTATTTAATTCTGTAAAAGGTAATTCAAAACTGTAATTAATTTTAACTATTATTTAAGGTTATCGAGTGTAATTTTCTTAAAGTTTAAATAAAAGTTATTTGTAATAGTACATTCAACAAAACATTAACAAGATTAATATTGATCATACCCAATTTATAAAAATATGTAAATTAGTGAATGGCCCCTAATAATTTCTTATTGAATTTTAATTCAAATTGGTTACTTACAAAGTATTTCATGAAAGAAATGATTAAAAAAAATTTAATAATTTTTAAATGCAAATACAATGAGTATTGAAGCTNTTTTACATCAATTGTTTTAAATCAAGTCTTTATGAGATGAATTAAAGTATTTTTGAATGACAAATCTGAAAAACAGGAGATTTATTTGCTGCTTTAAAAATTCTGAAAGCCCCTCTCTTCATACTTATTTAAAATCTTGCCTCTAAATATTATTAAGTTATTTCCTAAAACAAAATAAGAGCACCGAAAATTTTGAAGGTAATAATACAATAATAAAATACAAGTAAAAAAAAGTAATATAATTGTTTAAAAACAATATGTAATTAGTGGACGGTCCCTCAGATAAAAAATTTACTTTATGAAACTCAATCAATTCTTATCTTTATTATATGAAATGAATAAAAGGGATATGGAAAGTTTGAAGCTTTGTGATTCTTACTGTTCTGAGGTAGGATCAACATGAAAATATGTACTTAGTGGATGGTCCCCTAGTTAATTCAAAGATCATGGTACTAATCTATAAATAGAATAGCGCAAGAAGGCCATTAGCTTGCCATCGACGAAGATGATGGCACTTTAATAACGATGAAATCAACAAGAGAAATTTTTTTTTCTTATGCTATTGAAATTTGGCAATGTTTAGTTGGTCCCCGAAAATTTTTTGGCGCACACTCGGCGCAAATGTAACATAACACCGTACACTGCCCCATACGGAACAGGATACACCTTAAAAATTAAGTAAATAAAGCTTAATTCCTTTGTTTCTGAACCCTTTCAGAGGATGATTCTACTTCACAACACTTTTATTCCAGCTAGCAGTAAGAGTTGGTGGATTTATTTTGACAAAGCAAATAAAATTAATTCTTCTCAGAAATGAAACCAATTTCTTTTTGTCCGGATCAAACAGCATATTATGAGTCATATTTTATTAATTTGTTATTATAAGAGGGAAAAAACATTCAAGATTTTATTCTGTTACCAGCAGATAGTTAAGAAAACCAAGTCACTTCGCAACATTACATTAAGTGACTGTTTAATCCTATGCACATTAAAATATAAGATTTTAATATTTTTTTTTATATAAAAAAAGAATATAACACCAAATTACTAAAAATCTGAGTTAGTTTTTTCTGAAAAGAAAAAAAAAAAAATCCAATTTTGTTTGATTTTTGTTCAAATACACTGCAAAAAGTTTGATTTATGACTAAAGAACATTAAAAATTCTTAATCAAAATTAACTTAATATTAAAACTATATTAAGCTCTAAGTACCTAAAATTTTTTTTCATTATAATACATAGCTTTGTAACCATACATAGTAACTATTTTGAAACAGAAAATTTAAAGAATACTTTACGTATTAAAACAAAGTTTCAATTACCAAACCACAATTTTAATTTAAAACTGTAATTTCTTTTTTTTCTCTTCTCATTTTTAAAATGACAAAATAAATGTATCAGATTGTGTTTATAAATGTTATCATTCATCAAATATTCATTTTTAATCCTATATCAAAATAAATAAGTTTAGCTTAATTTTTTTTAAAATAGAAAATCTGATAATGTCAAAGATACTGTAAACATATTATGATGAAAGAAATACTTAAATGTTTACTTTAACCTGTACTTTCAATCTCAAGAATCAAAAGATTTTTAAAAATGTAATTTCAAATGTGTTTCAATTGAATTAAATCAACAAACCCTGCTAAAAATACATATATCCTTTCCTAAGCTAATTTGTATAAATTAAAGACATAAAAAGATAGGACACAATTTTATTTCAAACAACTGTACAAAGATGTTATTCCCTTTAAAACTGGATCATTTGTCCCTATAAAAGAAATGAAGTATATTAGATTAGAAAAGAAAAAATAAACCTTAGAAACAAGAGTTAAAAATTAATAATTTTGTCTTAATGTTTTTACCCAAAGCAAATATATAATTTACTTTGGCTTGGAAAATTAAAATTATTATCCTTTCCTTTTAAAGCAAGTTGAAACAATTCAACTTGTTATTAAAAAGAAAGGGGGGGGGGACAGAGAGCATAAATATTTTTTTAGAATGTCTGACATTTAGAAAACTTCAAATTAACAATAAGAGGACATGCTCAATCAGAAGAGAAAAATAAAAAATTTCCAGAACTCCCAAGATATATCAAGCAAATTGATAAAAATTCACACCCTATTTTATCTAAGGATGTAAAAAATAGTGATTTGTCCAAATATTCGGTGGCCGAAACGCAACATTGAGAAATATTATTTCTTTACATAAATAAGTATAGTCATTGTTAAGAATTAATCAAAAGTTAGGTTAAAAGAGAATGTCTATTAGAAACGCTTTTAAAATATGCAGCGATATCATAAAAACATACAAAAGCAAAACAGAAAAAATTTGTCACAGATCTTAATTACTGAAAGAAAATTTAAAGCTATACATCTTGTTACATATAACCGTACTTAAAGTCTAATAAAAACATTTTTATAAACAAAGTTTTCTGAAAAAGAAAAAGCTTATTTGAGAAGAAACGCTATTAATTTCAAATAAAAAAATTTAATGCTCAAAGTCTCAATTTAACTTTTTCACACTGCTATATTTTAAGAAAAAGTAACCATAAAAGATTTAAATAAATAATAAATTTGTCCAAATAACACATTACCAAATATTTCGTCAACCGAACATTCGTTACATCCCTAACTTCATATATACCACGTAATTTTTCATTAGAAAACTTTTGATTTTCTTATGTCAAATATTAGATTTTTCAAGCAAAAACACAATAGAATGGGAACATGGAAAAGTTTCACTAAAAAGTTAAATTTCATAAAATAATCGTAATAGAGGTTAGACTCATTTAACTAGAATCCCAATAACTGATTACTGTAACAGACAATTCTAACACTGGTTATTTTTAGGAATTTCCTGCACATAGTAATGCAAACCAAAAAATTACAAACTTTTTATCTTTATATATATACTTAAATTATATTTTTCTATAAATTATTTTTACATCATATTAACTCTCTTCTCAGAGGAAAAACCAGTTAAAAAATTTCTTTGGTCATACACAAGGATTATAGTAAATAAACAGTAAATTTACAAGAGTGGAAAATATTGCCACCTGATATTAAAAAATTTACGATTGAAAATTGACTTGAAAAATCCTATCTTCTCAGATTTTTTTTTTTAATCGAAAAAAGAAATGATGAAATGAACATACATATAATGTATAAGAGAAAGTAGCTCCCCGCATCAGTCTCTTATTTGGCTTTGGACAAACCTTTGTTAGTACACATATTTATATAAAGCTCTTTTCATGGGTATCCCCCCCCCCTCTATTATATGAACAGAGAGCCAGACATATTATTAATGGGAAAATAGTGTTCCTCAGACAATTAAAACTAAGGAGTTTGATGGTAAGCATTATAAGGAAGGAAACGCTAGTAAGTAAGGAGATATTTACCACCGTCTTATAAAGGATTAAATAGCAAAAAACATGTCAATCAATTGATTAATTGAAGATTAAAGAGAAAAACAGCGTAATCTTATATCCAATTTTTAAGAAAACTAGGATTACTGCAAATCTGATCAAAAATGTAGACATTTATCCTTATTTAACAAACTATTATACTTAATTCAAGAGTGATTACTCATCTAGCTTTTAAAACTGAGCCAGAAGTAGTCAATCTAAAAACTAAGGATGACAATTATAAAGGAACTTATAGAAATTGCAAAACAACAAATTATTAGATGTGAAATACAGGAAAAATTTAAATTATTTCAAATAAATAAGGCAGATTGACAGTAAACAAATTATGAATTAAATTAACTGCTTTCAAATTATTCATAAGTGTTGAGGAAATAGTGTTAAAGAATCATGCATATAGCAAAAAATGTAAAAAATATCAAGCAAAAAATAAATAAAACAAATTAAAATGTCCCATAAAGCCATACCTTTCTCTTCTTATCACCACCAATCTCAAAATGTTTGCATCTCTTGATAGGTAACTGTTTCCTGTATTTGCATTCAGAACATTCCATTCTCAAAACAATTTTCTTAGTGGTTTTAGCCTTTATAAAAGAAAATATAAATAAACATTTCATAATATTCTAGACTTTTAAATTAGTCATATTCAAGCAAAGCTTTTCACCTAGCTTGTTGTAGGCAAAGAATTACTGAGATCAAGAAATTTTCATATACCACTAGAATTAATTTTTAAGGGAAATACTGAAAAACACACAAAAAAGACTTGAAATTTAAAGTGGTAGTTTATCAATTGTGATTCTTCGTTTAATAAATTCAATTTAGTAGATTTTCATCCACCACTATTTCTAAGTAATAGGTAGGCTTATATAATTCACACTTAATAGTAGTTATGTAACACTATAACCTTTTAAAAAGCAAGGAAAAATAGTCAAATATTTGCAAAATTAGTCATTTAGTTTTTTTTAAAAAATTATTTCGGCGTGTCTGTCAACAACAAATATATAATATATTACATTAAAAACAATCATAAGTTTAAAGAAAAAAAATTTTCTTAAAAGAAAATACCAAATATTATACATGTAGAAATACTATATTTTAAAGTTTACATGCATATACATTTTAAGTTTTAGAGCATCTATTTCGATATCTACAGCAACGTTCAAAATTCAATAATAATTATTCCAAACTATCTTATTGACACAGAAAAATCATGAAAAACCTTACTCTCTACTTCATTTTAGACGAATAAGACTAAACATAACTCAGATACTCCAACAGCTAGGTTATTGATCTAGCTCTGCCTAACTAAGAAAATTAAAACTGGTAAAAATTAGTTTTCTTAAAAAAGAGAGACTGAAGTATGGTAGTCTCTTGGAATCATAGGTAATTTAAATAAATTGTACTTTAACTTTGTAATAAGAACTAACTTAGTAATAAACTTTTTTACAAATATAATTCTATTTATTTGCACCAACTGCCTATCAACAAAATAAATTTTCTTTTGATGGAAAAAAAAATTCCTACATTATAGGTTTTTTAAAATAAAAAAACTATTAGGTTCAATCTAGCCAGAAAATTGCCATTACACTGTTTAAAGTACATTTGTTTAACACAAAAAAAGTTAACTAGAATACAGACAAAAAATCAATAGTTATAGCAAAGTCTCTATATTTTTCATATTGACAACATCATTACCTTCTTTCTGAAAACTTATTAACACTCTCAATAAACCATGGTTTGATTAATTACAGTGATGTGCTGTATAACATACATTGTTATCAGTAATAATTGTGATATCTTCATATTATCAAACATTCAGTTATTGCAGATACTCTTATGCGCAGTATTGTAGGAGATTTTTCTTAAAAATCTGCATTACACTGTTTAAAGTACATTTGTTTAACACACAAAAAAATTAGTAATAACAGTGATATCTTCACATTATTAAACATTGAGCTATTGCAGATACCCTTATGTGCAGTAGCAGCAGTATATTTTGTTAAAAATCTTCATTACACTGTTGTTAATTTGCTATTACACTGTTTAAAGTACATTTGTTTAACACAAAAAAAGTTTCTGAAAACTAGAATACAGATAAAAAGCCAATAATATAGCCAAGTTTCATTACTTTTCATATTGACAATATAATTACCTTCTTTCTGAAAATAGGCTTGGTTTGTCCACCATATCCTTGTTGTTTTCTGTCATACCTTCTTTTACCTATAAAAAGTATGTTAATATTAATATCTATTGTTTTTTTAATGTTTTTATTTAAAAAAAAAAAGAATCAACCATTTTAAAGTAGATGCATAAAAAATACAATTGTTTAGCAACATACAAAAATTAAATTAAAGAACTTATCAGAAATTTATTACATTACACATACTTTGTCATCAGTCAGCAATCATCTCAATTGATTAAAACCAATTTAACTAATCTATAGCTTATACAGTGATTGTTATTTATGTTACCCAAATATTTATTAACACTTTCAATAAAACACGATTTTATTAATTACAGTGATGTGTTGTATAATACACATTGTTATCAGTAATAATCGTGATGCCTTCATATTATTAAACATTGAGCTATTGCAGATACTCTTATGCACAGTATCAGCAGCAGATTCTCTTAAAAATCTTCATACGGATACTTCTGTATTGGTACCTGTTAGCACTAGGTCAAATTTAATAAGAGAAAGGATTTTTAATCCTTCAAGCATGGTTGCTAATTCTTTGAAATCTTCATGTATTCCCCAGGTATGAGGTGGAATTACACCTGAAACACAAGTCACACAGGTGCCAGAGACAAACTCTTGCTGTGACTTTTCTATATTAAAGAAAAATAATTCTTTAAAAAAACTTTGTAAAAGAAAATCTCTTTGCAAGAACTCTTACTACGCTCTGCGACAATGTCGTCGAGTTGCTGTGATTCTGCCACAAGGGGTTGTACTCACTACTCTTTTCATTTAAGGCTTTAACAATATGATGTATTAATAGTATAATATACAATTTCTATAAACAATAAATTTATGTAAAATTGGGCAAAGAAAATCTATCAAAAAAGTTTGGCAATGAATTTTTCTAATTATGTTAAAAGGGGTTAATAAATATGCATTTTGTTTAGAGATACAGTTGCTGTAATTCCAGAAGAAAAAATATTATAGCATTCCCCATATTGTGTCAGAAATACAGAGATATTTAAAAATCTTGTCATAATCCATATCCAGGGATGTGATTGACAAAAACACAAAAAAGAGGAAGTTTATAACTGTAGCATTAAACGTGCAAAAGAAAAAATGATATGAATTCAATAGCCAATCTGATAATGATTACATTATTATCTATTCAAATAAATATAAATAAATGGTAATTATGTTCTTAAATAAAATCTTGATTAAAATAATTTTTTTTTAATAATTTAGATAACTTTGAGTAATTATGCATAAGCAGGATTTTATGTATCACATCATTTTAAAAAACATTTCCTTATTGGTTAAAGGACCTTTATGGACTTTCTCATCAGGTCTTTGTTTTTTTGATGGTCTTTTATTAACATGACTGATCTGTAGACTGCGTTTTGCAGACTTTTGATCATCAGTGTTGATAGGACAAGAAAGTTCATTTCTCACACAATTTTTAGAGGCCTTAGAAAAAGAATCGCGATGTTGGATTTCAAAATCACGTGAATAAGAATCACGATGCTTGATTTTAAAATCGCATGAAAAAGAATTGCGATGCCGGATTTTAAAATCGCGTGAAAAAGAATCGCGATGCCGGATTTTAAAATCGCGTGAATAAGGCGATATCGGATTTTAAAATTGCGATGTTGGATTTTAAGATTGCGTGAATAAGAATCGCGATGTTGGATTTTAAGAGTGCGTGAATAAGAATAGCGATGTTGGATTTTAAGAGTGCGTGAATAAGAATCGCAATGTTGGATTTTAAAATAGGGTGAATAAGAATCGCGATGTTGGATTTTATAATCACTTGAATAAGAATCGCGATGTTGGATTTTATAATCGCTTGAATAAGAATCGCGATGTTGGATTTTAAAATCGCTTGAATAAGAATAGCGATGTTTGATTTTAAAATCGCGTGAATAAGAATAGCGATGTTTGATTTTAAAATCGCGCGAAAAAGAATCGAGATGCCGGATTTTAAAATCGCGTGAATAA